TAATTTTAGCTTTAACCAAATTAAACCTAATAAAGTCAAAGTGAAATAGGCAAGGCCTAAGTGGGACCTTCTCTTTACACCGTGAACTTCATCAAGACGCTTCAAAATGAGTTTATATTGCCTTCCAGAAAAAAAGTAATCTTTTATAAGATCTAAAAAAACTGGATAAGTGAAAAAATGTAGGTTATTACGTACCATTGAGCTCTCTCTCAGATATACCGGACATGTTTTTGCTTGTGCCCGCCCCTTACACCCCGCCCTTTTTAAATTCTATTGTACGCGGTCGTTTGTGATCTGGCCCGGTCACTTTTTGAACGGGGCCCATCACTATTTGAATGGCCCTGATAACGGCATCTTTTCCCGTACCCGAGGACGGATTATACCTCCGGGCCACCATAGGTGGCGGAAGTGGACCAGCATCATCCGCCATTATGAAGTTAGTGTACTATAAACATAAATATAATGATAGCTGATGTAATTTGGCAACAGAACTGACTTGTTTGAGAAAGTATATTTTGATGAAAAAAAGGCAAAGAAGGAACTTTAAAGTTTCAAAATGGGAAAAAAATTTTAGCAGTTAACTACTTTTTAAGTTATGAACGTTATTAAAAATTTAAAATTTTGAAAATAATGATTGTTTGAAAACTGTTGTTACAATGTGGGTAGGCTATTATCAAGAGTACATTATCCAGAGTACAAAATACCTAAACATAGTGTTTAACGGGCCCATCTCACTTGCTGCAAGTGTGTGCATTTTTAGGAAGTTACGGTTAGGATAGTTCTGTATATATCAGTGATAAATGTTGTTATAACCAACACATCTGTATAAACACTGATTGAAAACTACTGAAGTATGTGAACATGCCTTCCTAGAAATCTACACACCAGCAGCAGGCCTCAATAGGACCGTTGGATACTCTCATCAGGTATTATGTATTCTTGCTATTATTTTCATTTGTTTTTTGTAGTGGCTTGAAAGATTGATACAGAAAGTAATGCGTAAAGAGTATCCAATGGCCCAAATGAGGCCTGTTGCAAGTGCATGGATTTCTAAGCAGTCGCGTTTGCATACCTAAGTAGTTTTCAATCAATGTTTATCTAATTATGATTGAACTCAACCCCCTTGTTCCTTTTATTTTTTTAACAACCCTACATTTTTTTATTTATAAAAAATTTTGTTTCCAAACGAGAGGATCATGTAAGCTTTTCCAGAGTCATGTACGTCTCAATTTCTCTTCTGACTTATTGTTCTGGTGTACAGCTAGTGTTAGGTAAAGGACTTTAAGGCTGACTTGATTTTAGTTTGTTTTTCTTTGTTTCTCTGACAGTGGAGGGTCTCCAAAAGCTGAAAGACAACTGGGATGGTGACTGCCACAAGTTGAAGTGAGAGGAACGAAAGAGTAACAACGTTAAAAGAAATTATCTCTGTTATATCTTAAATGCTGCTAATAAAATTATCCCTAGATCTAATATCAAGGAAACAGGCTACTTCTATTAGGTGAAGACAGTCATCTTGATTTCTCCTGGAAATGTAAGTTGCAATATTCGAACGAAGTTCATTCATTAGTTCCTTATCACATGAGTTTTCCTTTGGGACTGATATTTTGAGGTTAACAATTGCCAAAACAGCAGTAATAGTTACGTATTGTTCACAAGACA